GTGGGATCAATAAAGTTTATTTTATTCTAAGTGCAGTTTATGCTGATGATACTCAGTTATATTTATCCATTAACCCCGATGAACCTGACCGGTTAGGTAGATTACGGGCTTGTCTTGAAGGCATAAAAAATTGGATGACTGAACTTTCTGCTTTTAAATCAAGACAAGACTGAAGTTCTCATCTTTGATTGGCTTATTGAACTGAACTTTATTGGAATGTGTACTTTGTAAAGTGCCTTGAAATGACTCTTGTCCTGATTTAGTGCTATATAAATAAAGTTGAATTGAATTTAACTCAGTTTGCTCCCACATGTTTTAAATTTGCCAGCATCTCTAGGCTTTCTTTTCCATTCTTTTAGTATTTTGAGTTCAAGTATAAAAATATGAATGCATGATATTAAAGGGAGACAAGGTAGTTTGGGCTTGTCTTTAGCACCCCTACTGTCTGTTTAGTAGAGCCAAAAGCAAAACACATCTCCTCGTGCGTATTTTTAACACCTTAATCCTTAATCTAACAACTGAAATGCCTCCTCAGCCTTCCTTAGTGTCTACTGGAGCGATTAATCACCAAATAAAAGAAATCAGCTGTATTCATGAACTAAAACATGCAGGAAACATTCTGGAAGCAGACTGCATTGCCAGGTATGTCAGCTCCACTTTTTTTCCAACAACTCTGAAGTTGCACGTGGAATATTCTGGCCACAAGGGGTGATAGGGGCTGAGTGGCCTTCCATTAACCCTGTAAAGGGTCGTTTTAGCACATACTGGCTCAAGAAAATGATTTTGAAATTTGAAAAATTTGCATACAGGGAGAGCAGAATTATTCGGCAAGTTGTATTTTTGAGGAATAATTTTACTGAACAAGCATGTTCTCAATAAACCCAAACAACTCATTAATATCAAAGCTGAATGTTTTTGGAAGTAGTTTTTAGTTTGAGCTATTTTAGGGGGATATCTGTGTGTGCAGGTGACTATTACTGTGCATAATTATTAGGCAACTTAACAAAAAACAAATATATACCCATTTCAATTATTTATTTTTTACCAGTGAAACCAATAGAACATCTCCACATTCCCAAATATACATTTCTGACATTTATGTCACGGCTGCCAGCCTGAAGAGGGAAAAAGGAGCCAGGATCACCCAGCTCTGGTGATTGACTGGACACCACCCCTCCTCCTCCTCTCTTCCAGGCTGCTGAGGAGCACGGCTGAGCTGAATCCTCCTGATGAGCCACACCTGGGATAAAAAGGCTGTGCCTTCAGCAGTCTGGGAGGCAGCAGTGCAGGGGTGCTGCTGTTCTCCAGGCCTCATTTTGTTTTTAACCCCTTCGAGTAGAAGAGTTTTAACTTTTATAGTTTTAACTCTGAGTGATCCCAGAGGGATCGTTTTAAAGGTTAACTCTGTGATACAGTTTTATTGACTTTGGTTGTAAAACACCTTCTGTTCTGGTAAAACTTTTAACATAAGTTTTAACCAGGTGTTTTATGTCAATGGATTGTTTTAGAACTTTTATCAACCTTGTGGATTTAGAAACGCCTTCTGTTTTGGTGAAACTTTTAATAAGTTTTAATCAGGTGTTTTTAATGTTGGCAACTGCTCTTTTAATTTTAACCTCTTTGAGAGTATTTTTGTTTAGCATTATCTTAATAATGCTCGCCATCTGTTTATGTCAAAAGTTATACCGGAACAGAAGGTGTTTAAAAACCAAAGCCTTGCTGGCGTCTGAGTCGGACTGGAGCTCTCTGCCCTTTACCAATCCAGCCACGGGCCCATCCATCTGGCCCATCAAGACTCACTCCCATTTCATCAGTCCATAAAACCTTAGAAAAGTCAGTCTTGAGATATTTCTTGGCCCAGTCTTGACGTTTCAGCTCGTGTGTCTTGTTCAGTGGTGGTCGTCTTTCAGCCTTTCTTACCTTGGCCATGTCTCTGAGTGTTGCACACCTTGTGCTTTTGGGCACTCCAGTGATGCTGCAGCTCTGAAATATGGCCAAACTGGTGGCATCTTGGCAGCTGCACGCTTAGGGCTGGGGGTAAATGATTATTTTTAAAACGATTATTCTAACGATTATTTTATCGAATAGTCGACTCTTCTAATGACTATTTAGACAATTAATCTAATGATTATTTTCATATTGCACAGTTAATAAAAACCAAAAAATCTAATAAATTCCTCAAAAAAATTGATTAATTGGTACTGTAAGAGAAGCAACACTACAGGCCTTCCATTTTGTATAACACTGCTTTTATTGTGTTGCGGTTGGTTATGTTCTGGTGACGTGTAGAACTTGGGGAGTGCAGGCTGCTGCCTGAGAGGTGGTTGAAGACGGAGTGTCTCCATGCTGCTTTGTTTTGGTCACTTATGTGCGTGAGGCGAGTGGTGTTACGACCCTTCCTGGGGAGTTTGGCTCGTGTGTAAAAAGGAAGGGACAATAATGGGATTTAAAAGTTAAAATGATGACCAGGTTTATTTACAACTACAAAAAAACAAATCTTTCCATCCACAGGTTGGGAATAATAAAACTAATTCTGCCTGTGGGGAATTAAAACAAAAGTACAAATAACTAGGAATGTCACACTGGGCAAAGATTACTGGGTTCTGGACCAAAATAAGGATCTCCAAAAGTCCAAACTCTAAACTGGGTGGTTAAACCAAACTCAAGGTGAGATTTTAAACTAAACCGAAAACCCACAACACTCTAAATGTAATAAAAGGGAAATCTGCACCACAAAAAAGATGAACTCTAAACCAAAACGTAACAGCTTATCCAAACACAAGAAGCTGTTAGCGAAGATGCTAACAGTAGCTTTACCAACGTTAAGTTCAAGTTACCAAGTTTAAATAAACCAAAAACACCCAGCAAACAGACCAGCACGGAGGAGAGACTGCTACCACCAAAACAGCTCTCCTAATGTCTGAAAGAAGCTCCTTAATGAAGGGAGAAGCGCTCCCGGTGATTTTCTACATCTGCCATAGAGACGGAGCAGCGCATCTGACCCCGGAAGTTGTTGTCCGTTGCTGGGAGACGAAGGCGGGCAAAAAAGGAATCTAGTAGCGGACGGGCATTGTTCCGGGTCTTCGGTATTTGGCGGAGATGTTAAAGGCGGAAGAAGAGGGCGAACTAGAGGAAAAGCAGGCAGATTCCTCCTCTATTTACAAACTCCTGGGGACGCAACAAGTGGGCGCGGTGCGTCGACTACCGGATCTGACGTCGACGAATTTATACAATCGAGCCCTTGACGTCATCGACGCTTCGCTACAGCCTATGCACGCTTGACTTTTCTCAGTTCATGGGCAGTTATTTTGCGCCTTGGTTTGTCCACACTCTTCTTGCGACCCTGTTGACTATTTTGAATGAAACGCCTGATTGTTCGATGATCACGCTTCAGAAGCTTTGCAATTTTAAGACTGCTGCATCCCTCTGCAAGATATCTCACTATTTTTGACCTTTCTGAGCCTGTCAAGTCCTTCTTTTGACCCATTTTACCAAAGGAAAGGAAGTTGCCTAATTCTTCTTCTTCGACTTCGAGTTTATTGGCGGGTGGCATCTAACTGCTAGGTGCATTTCCGCCACCTACTGTGCTGGAGTGTGAGTCGGAGTAAGAGCGTAAAAAAAATAAAATAAAATAAAATAATAAAAAATAAACTAAATTCTTTTCAACAAACCACTGTGTTTTAGATACTCAATAACCAACTTACATTTCCTTTCTTGACCATTTAACAAATTATTTACATTTATCACTCTACCTCCTATGTTTTTTCATTCATTCATTCCTTTCTCTCCCCTTTCCCACATTCTTTAAAGTTGCCTAATAATTATGCACACCTGATATAGGGTGTTGATGTCATTAGACCACACCCCTTCTCATTACAGAGATGCACATCACCTAATATGCTTAATTGGTAGTAGGCTTTCGAGCCTATACAGCTTGGAGTAAGACAACATGCATGAAGAGGATGATGTGGACAAAATACTCATTTGCCTAATAATTCTGCACTCCCTGTAGTGTCTCTTTAGAAAACCATCTCCTTTTGTGTTTAAGAATGTTTTCAGTGTACTTACTGCAACTCTGTACCACAAAATGCTCCAGACTTTCAGGCCTCACACTTTTGGACAATGCATTTTGTGGCAGTATCTTAGCAACAGGTATTGTGGCATCTGGATGATCTTAAACTGCTCAGCAGAGCTCCTGCAGGGCTGCACAGGGAGATACCTCAGCCAGAGTCCGCCTTATGAAGGGAGATGTAAAAGAGAGGTCTTGATCTCAGAGTGTGCAAAGAAGCTTTAGTGCATGTCACAAGTTGTGCTCAGAGGGTTACTTCTTACTCAGGTCCTGTTACACTTAACCCTTGTTCTTTTGTCACTTCAAATAAAGCACACTTTCCCTCCATTTCCTTAGTTCTACTGTGGAGAAATGTGTCCAAAGTAAAACTGATCACGAGCTTGTTATTTTGGACGATGATCTGTTCAGCAGACAGAACAGGGAGGTTGTGTAGGGGTCCTTTATTGTGCCACAACTGCTAATGTTTTGTCCGTTGCCATAGAAACCTGTCACTACTTCTTATTTGTTCACATTCCTCTTGTTAATATCACACCAAGAATATATTTACCAGCATTTTCCTGCACTGCAAATCTGAAGGAGATCCTCAAGCCAAAGACACACTCTAGATAATGAGTTTTGATTGCAGATGCAGATAGAGGCCTTTTCAGAGCACACACACACACACACACACACACACACTGGTCATCTCTGATTGTGGAATTGATAGCGTCTATTGTTTTCTCAAATCTTGCTGCCATACACCCTCTAATGTAATTACATCCAGGAGATTTATGTTGCTGCATGGCCGCCCAGAACCCGATCCGTGTTGTGTCTGGAGTCAGGTTGAAAAGCTGCCTTTCTCTCCAGCTGCTTCTGATTTCTGCTCTGGCCTCTGTCACTGTGTGGGACGACGCGGCCACACTGCCCAACGGAAAGATTTGGTTTGTTGCGGCCTTTGTTTTTGTGCACCCACATGTTGGAGGAATATGGTTAAAGTTGACTGTTTGTCTGAAAACTTTTGGCTTCCACTCTCTGATTCTCCACTCTGAAAGAGGAAACGTGCGTGTACTAGTTTAGCTAGACGGTAATTATTAACTGCCTGAAGCGGTTTAAAAAGGCTGCATGCTTCAAGACTCCCACAGAGAGGACTTTGTCTGCACCTTCTGCAAAGCACAGCTACAGTATGTTAGGCAATATTCATTTTAATTTACAAACAATCCTGGGAAATGTTTTCTATTGAGAGAAGAGGACCTGTGGGCGCTCGCTGGGTGAATCAGCCTTGGGACAAACGGGACGTTAAGCCTCCGAGGAGGCCTAGAATTTTACCCAGGCGTCCTGTCAGGACAAACACCTGGCCACCTGACGGCACCGGCTCTGGAAACAACAAGCTGCACAGGGTGAGTCCCTCCATGCCCACCCAGGCTCTTCTTAAGTCCACAGTTGAGTGGCCTGCTGCCGCCACCGCCCACAACTCTTATATCTCAAATAAAAGACACGTCAAACGCTGCTGAATGAGCCCCATGTAGAGAACATGAGAGAGAAGATCCGTAGGGCCGACAGCATCTGTCCACCTCTCTGACACTAATGAATGTTAAGTAGGTTAGTGGCTGGTGTGCCAGTGTCCCACAGGTCATTGTGACCGGCTGTGGCAACAGAGCTATGCTTTTGTCGGGGTGCGCCAGCCCCCTGTGAGATGGCGAAAATGGCTGGACTGCTTTCTCCTGCACACAATCCCAGCACCAATAGTCGCCATATTGATCCTCCTTGCTTGCAGATTAAAGCATAAAAGGAGCTCTGTCTTACCAGCAGGGTTCCCTACTGACTCCCGGAGCTCATTTCAGGGTCAAAGAGTCCTTGCAGCTCCGTGACCCGGACCCCAACATGAACACCGGTGCAAATAAATACAGAACGTTTTCCACGGATGAACCCCATTTAACAGGATTGTAGGATGCTCACATTCACGGCTCATTATAGCTGACCTCACACTTTCTCTCTTTTTTTGTCCTCTTCTGCTTTGTCTCTGACCACAACCTGGGCTAAGCCCTGCTGAGATGCTCATCTTCTTTTAATCCATAACACAGCTGATCGCTGGATTTCCTCATACAATCTGTTGTGCTGCGTTGTTTCAGTGAGGTCTTTTTAAAGTGTTGTCTTTTTGCATCGGTGTTAGCTCATTTAAGGCTGACAGATCCAACTGTTAGTCATGTTAGCAACTTTAATGAAATTAGATCACTTTGTTTATGTCCAAACACTCCAGCTTGAGTTGGGAAAAAAGCCGAAAAGCTTGCTTCTGTATACAAATTAAAGGAGCAATATGTAAAATTCTACGGTGAAGAAGGAAGGTTATACTGAAACAGATTTCATTTTCAGCCGACTGGGAGGTTGTCAGTTTTTGCTTTAAAAAAGAGGAATGTAGTTGCTGTTTATGTCAGTGTGTTTGTTGTCTTGTGAGGTTGTCGATTCTGCACCGAGCTAACGCTGCAGCGCCAGCATTTGTAATTAGATACCAGCAGGCAAAAAGTTCCAGACTTGCATTAAAGAACAAAATAATGAGTCAATTGTGGTGTTTTCCTTCAATGAGTCGTTCAGGACTATAACAGCAAGCTAATAGCAAGACGACTGACAACCACACTTACTCCGATGCCAGAGAAACCTCACCATAATAAGTGTAGTAAGTGCTCCCTACAGTAAAACACCCAGAGTTCCAACAGCAGATTAAACTATGTATTTATCTACTTACCAACTTGGTGTGTATGACTCGTCTTTGCTTGACAGCAGTAGCTGGGGCGACGGTGGCACAGGAGTTAAGTGCTCGCCCCGTAATCGGAAGGTTGCAGGTTCGAGCCCCGCTCAGTCTGTTGCTGTCATTGTGTCGTTGGGCAAGACATTTAACCCACGTTGCCTGCTGGTGGTGGTCGGAGGGACCGGTCGTGCCAGTGCTCGGCAGCCTCGCCTCTGTCAGTGCGCCCCAGGGCAGCTGTGGCTACATTGTAGTTCATCCCCACCAGGGTGTGAATGAGTGAATGACTGATTGTGTTGTAAAGCGCCTTGAGGAGTTCCAGGACTCTAGAAGGCGCTATATCAAATACAGGCCATTTACCATTTAGCTTGGGCAGCTTGGGCAGCAGTAGCTCAACAAGTTGAGTGGGTTGACCAGTAATTGGAAGGTTGCAGGTTCAATCCCGGCTCCAGGACAGAGAATTTTGCTGTTGTGTCCTTGGGCAAGACACTTAACCCACCTTGCCTGCTGGTGGTGGTCAGAGGGATCGGTGGCATCTGTGCTCGGCAGCCTCGCCTCTGTCAGTGCGCCCCAGGTCAGCTGTGGCTTCATCGTAGCTCATCGCTATCAGTGTGTGAATGGGTGAATGATACACTGTAGTGTAAAATGCTTTGGAGTCCTTACTCTGAGAGGCGCTATACAAGTGCGGGTCATTTATCATTTTGCATCTCGAATTTTCTGACGCTGATCCGTGACTGGCAACAGCCATGAAACTCACGGAATGGGAGTGAGAAAGCAACTTTTTGCTTGGGAAAAAGGCCTGCAGTACCCACGTTTTCTTTCTTCTTTTTTACACATTGCACCTTTAATATCAGGACTGACATAAACATAGTAAGCAAACACACAATATAAGCAAGGCAAACAACTGGACAAGTTTAGAGGCTGTGTTGTGATGTACACGGAAAAAAAAGACAGGAAGTTGCAGTTTTTTGTTTTACTAAAAATTGTTAATAAAGAAAATTGTAACTTAGATTCTTCACCCAGGAAATGAATCGTTACAGCAGCAGAAATGTGTTGATTCCGATTGGAAGAGAATGTTCTTAGACACCTGTTCAGAGCTCATCGATGCACATGAGTCAGAATTAAATCAGTGGGCCAGAGGAAAGGACGTCTAGAATCCAAATATGATCTAATAGATATGTTGCTAATTCTTATTTTTCTGTTTTTCTCAAAGCTGCTGTTTATTGCCCCATCATGTGAAGTGATGGGGTACCAAAAAGTGAAACGGATGGCAGTTGATCCCCCCCAGCTTTAAACTACATTTACGTGCATAAACTCCAGCTAACTTTCTCACATTAGCTTCAAAACGGACCAAACATAAATGTGTCAGGACAGTATTTGTTTTTGTTTACATCATTAAAACTCACATTTTTTTGTATCTGTGAGCAACCTGGGAGCTGTGTTTTAATCCTGCTTCGCTAGGATGCAGCTCTGCGTTCTAGACCCCTGTTCCCTGCCTGCATCATTAATTAAACATTGATGAAATGCCTATTAATGTGTTGTGACTCACAGACAGGGGGCAATCAGGTGAAACAGGCTTAATAAAACATCCAGGAGAGAAAAAAAAGGAAGGAGTCCCCTGAGAAAGACGGACAGATGGCAGCAGGAATCACCGCAGAGGACAGAGAGAAGACCAGCTACCACTCCAGTGATTAGTTCTAAATTAGTAATTTAATCTGGTCCCATCCACCTACTCACTATTGATAAGACCGACCATATTTGACCAAATCTACCCCACTGGCTCAGACCGACAACACTGGACTTCCTGACAGCCCACGTAGCATCCGGGAGATCTGACAGGAAGTGTACGTGGAGGTGGGGTTGGACTAGGAATGGGGGGGGGGGGTACATTTTGCTGACAAATGCACAGTAGATCCCATCTGCCAGGACTCTCTGTAATCTCATTGTGTGAATTGAGCAAGAAAGCAGGGGCAGCAATCACTTTAGGCGAACCCTCTACGGGATTTCGTGTTGTGTTTGTGATGATGGGTAAAACGAGGACATCAAAGGCAGAGTGGGCTAATGGAGCACAGCGTTTTGGATGCATAGAAGTCATTTTCTTAAATAGTTATTAATAATAAGAATAATGAATGAGTAGGAATCTGAAATTAGAAAAGATGACTTTGAATTGAAGTGATTTTTTTAACCTGTCTTTGCTGACATGTGAAGCAGACAGAGTGGTTGATCCGGGTCCCGTGATAAGCCAGAGCAGTTTTACTCTACAGCAAGAGCGGCGTGGGATATTCCTCCTGTTGCTCGTGTAAATTGGTGCTCCTAAACTTTTGTTCCAGTTTTCAGTTGAAAGGAAATACAGACAGTTTTATTTACCGCCGGTTACCTTTCAGAGTCAGGCTGATCCAAGATGGCTGCCATAGCTAACCTGTCAACACATTCTCACACCCAAGGCGTCAAAATATGACGCGTGTGACCAAGCCTCAATATATGACGATTCGGGACGCCCCAGCGCGTCAGGAGACGACGATCGGGGACAAACAGCTGACGCAGCGTCCCAGAGCGTCGGTATCCGACGCCGGTGGTGAGACGGACATTAGAACTACTTAACCTTCCCCTCACCCCAATCCTAACCTTAAGTTCACAGGTTATGGACCTTAAGGTTAGGATTGGGGTGAGGGGAAGGTTACATTGTCGAATAATGTCCGTGTGACTGCGCGCGTCAAACAGTGACGCCAGCGGAGCCACGTGACCCAGCGTGTCCCTGATTGTCGTCTCCTGACGCGCTGGGGCATCCCGGATCGTCATATATTGAGGCTTGGTCGCACGCGTCATATTTTGAAGCCTTGGGTGTGAGAATGTGTTGAACCTGTGGTTTAGATCAAATGCTTAAACCATAGCAAAGGAAAGAAAAGTCCCACTTTAGTAAAATTATGACCCAACCCCCACCTTCTGCCTCCTCACCTGCCTGAAAAATACTCTTGAACTTTACATCTCGTTTTATTGGGAATTAGATGTTTGCGGGGCCACAAGTACCCATAATTCACTGGGACACTGGTCCGTTCTTTACGTTGCTGTAATGAAGGCTTCTATTAGGAATGACGCAAGCATCATTTGTTTAATCACACATGATTACGGCTTGGTTAAATACGAGGATGGCCTAATTAAAGGGCAGGAGACAAAGGCAGACCGGACGCTGCCCTCTAGCCTCTCTTTGTGGGACTTGCAGGGTTTGAGGCAGTGGAGAGCTGCTCACCAGGACACTCCAGAGTAAACACAACAAAGTCCTTTGTCTCCCTCCCCACGAGCCCCCGTTGGCTCCTGCCACACGCTCTGTTCCGGGGTTACAGCCCATGAAAGAAGGGTGAATCCTGGCTGGATCTGTGGACCCACTTGTGCTGACTCGGCGCTTTTCTGAGCTGCAGAGGGAGATGGATGAGTTGTTTGGCTCTGACTTGTGATGTGTCATCCTCTGATTGATGAGTTAACACACTGCATGCAGCTCCGTAGGTCAAACTGGTCAACAGGCCACCGTACAGTCCTGAGGAAGTGTTGTGTTAAAGGAGATGAGAAGCAGACGTTCAGCAGATGTTAGAGAGACTGTGTGGGAGAGCGGACTTCATCACAGTGTCCCCGGCTTCTGCTGAGCCATTAAAGGTGCTTCAGCAGTTCAGAAGTCAACACAAAGGCATTAATGAAGGGCTGATGGGACAGTGGCTGCCTCAGACCCTCTGAGATTAGTTCCTGAATTTCACTGATCTATTTTTAACGAAAACATCATTTTAATTAATATTTTCTTTATAATTATGCTTGCAGGGACCAACGTACGTGTCTTTTGTCAGCAAGGCCATCCTGTGGGAGAGAGGAGTCTGCCACCACAGCGTAAGATCCCAAATACAACACGCACAATTAAAGTATTTGTGTTAACCTGATGAATGGCCTCTGTCAGGAGGTGCATCATTGTGAGAAGTGTATTAATGCAATTAGGGAGTTCATGTCAGTCACTAAAGCAGCTGCTATTACCCATCATTTGGATGTTAAAGATTTAATGCCATATGAAACATCTGGTCAGGATGCCTCCTGGACGCCTCCCTGGTGAGGTTTTCCGGGCACGTCCAGCCGGGAGGAGACCTAAAGGTAGACCCAGGACACGGTGGAGGGACCATGTCTCTCACCTGGCAGGGGAACCCCTTGGGATTCCCCCGGAGGAGCTGGCCCAAGTGGCTGGGGAGAGGGAAGTCTGGGCCTCTCGACTTAGGCTACTGCCCCGCGACCCGACTCCGGATAAGCGGATGAAAATGGATGGATGGATGGATGGATAAAACATTTCCTTAATTCAATGTCAGACTGCTCTTTTCCACTCCCAAAAAATCTGAAGCATCATTTAAGGATTGCGGTTCTTTGCTTTATGTTCTTGAAGCCTTTATTCCCTGATACGGAGCTAAAATGTTACATGTTACAAGCTGAGGGCCATCAGCACACACTCCTAATGCTCATTGGTTGTGTATGATCTTTTTACAAAAGTCTAGTATAAACAACAATGGGCGATTCCTCTAAGGATGATGGGCCGGTTCTTTGACAGAAACCTGAAATCCGTCAGATTTAGCATAGCTGTGGAATCAAACTCTAACTTTAGCAGTGAGGACCATGTGATTGCATCAAATCGATGTCTTTGGTTCCAGAAAACAACAGAAAAGCAACACACCCCTCTCTTTCACTCTCTCCTCCAACGCTCCCAAGTCTCCTCCTCTCTCGTTTGCTGAAAGGAGCCTGGGAGTGGATGCACCATCATCAACAACAGCGGGGTTGTCGTGGCGACGCCTGAGTTGTGTGGGCTGGCTTCCTGTCTTGGCCCCTGCTTAGGCAAACAAAGTTGGCAGACAAAGAGGCTCGCTGGCCCTTACAGCCTCATTTAAAATCCTCAAACTGCCTTCACTACTTCTGCTTTCAGATGCTTTTTCAGGCTCACCTCCACCGTTCTCCTCTGCTCCAGCTAAAACTCATAAACCAAGCGCCGCTTTGTGTTTGTTAATGCCTTCCAAACAGGGAGGCGGTCGGCAAGAGGCTGTTGACCTGGCAAACTGCTTTATGTTGGTCCTGAAGCTGCTGTCACCTGGGACATGAGCAGCGGCGCGAGAATGCAGGACAGATACCTGAAGCAGTGATTTTAATGAACACACCAAGATCTTCATGCAGATTTTTGACCCAATTCCCACCTTCAAAAAAACGTAAGGAAGCATGAGCGTAAATTTCACTTTAGGGGCGGGGGGTATCTTTACAGTATGCTCTAATGGGAAACTTGCTTCAACACAAACGGTTGTTTTCTGCTTGGTCCTAGAGCTCAACCAGTGTTAATTTAATATAGCGCAATATTGTTTTTGGATGGTAAAAAGTGCAGGGTTCAAAACTTGACTTTGGAAAAAGTGTGTGTGTGTGTGTGTGTGGGGGGGGGGGGGGGGGGACATGTCCCCCCTGTCCCCCCCCCCCCAAAATTACGTCCATGTAAGTAAGCACCCAGTTACTGTAACGGCTTTATCCCTCTCAGGCTCAAAGGAAGTGTTGGTAACAGGACGAACAACTGAGTCCTTCAGGGGCACTTCGGACTAAAACACTTCTCATGAAATATGTATGTGGAGTAGCCAGGTGGGTATTTTTTTAACTGTTGCAAATCTCCAACGTCTGCTTCGAGAGGGTTAAAAATACGGTGGAAGAGGAGTTAAGTGCCTGCCCTGTAAATGGAGGGTTGCAGGTTTGCATCCCATCTGTTGCAGCCATTGTTTCCTTGGGCAAGACACTTCACTTGCCTTTGTGTGTGTGAATACGTGGATGACTTTCGGGTTAAATTAATTTTGTAGCACTTTGAGATTTGTTTCAAATGTAAAGTGCTTTATAAATCAAATGTATTATTATTACTTGGGTGGCCGTGGAACCCGAGAAAACTCAGGTAACTAGTAAATACGGCAGATTTACTCCAAGCCCCTCCTGGATCACCGAGCATCTCACCTTGTCTGTTAAGGGCGAGCCCAGCCACCCTACGAAGAAAACTCATTTTGGCCGCTTGTATCCATTATCTCGTTCTTTCAGTGACTACCCAAAGCTCGTGACCACAGGTGAGGGTCGGAACGTAGATCAACGGGTAAATCAAGAGCTTCGCCTTCTGGCTCAGCTCTCTCTTTACCATACAACGCCTGCATCACTGCAGACGCAGCACCAATCCGCCAATTGATGTTGCGCTCCATCTTTCCCTCACTTGTGAACAAGACTCTGTAGCGTAGATATCTACATACTAGAAGTTAACGCTGTTGCTATTCAGCTCTGTTAAATCCTGAAAAAGATCAAACAATTTGGCTTATGAACTTATATTTACATAGATATCCACGTATATTTATATAATCGATAGAAGTTCATACACCAACTGGCTTGGTCTATATTTAATCCAAAGATTAATACTTAATTGAAGAGATTTAAATTAATAGCAAAAGTTTATTTGTTAAATCAGAAGATTTAAAGAAATCTTTGCTCGTTCAATGACCAGATGTGCACCATTCTGTGCTTCATTTTAAAGAAGAGTCAGGTTTAAAAAGTTAACAATTTATTACTAACAATTTAAACGACAATTTTATAAAACTTTGATATTAAAACTTGATATTAAAAGCAACCTGTGTCTGGATGAAGACTAAAATGAAATGCGTGTGTTGGATGCGTGGATGGAATCTCAGAAGGTTTCTTTCAGAGAGAGAAAAGGCGTTCTGGGTGAAATAGTTGTTTTGCAGCTAACTAGGTTGTTTCTTAGAGAGAACAGCATCGGACACAATCTGTGTTCTACCTCACTGTTCAGACGACCCTAACTGTGGATCCGGAGGTCAAGGGAGGATGTCGTCAGCCTCTGGGTACTCGGTCCGGTAGGGAAGACCAGTGGTACCGACTCTATGGTCCAAGAGTTGCCGCAGGCACACAGGTGTTGAATTTGCGTCTTAAATTAACTCTGAAGGAGTTTGCGTCAGCTGGTTGCAGGTGGCGTTTGTTGGAGCGATTCTATCGGCGTGGCAGAACAGCTTAGTGGAGGCTTTGAGCGGCTGTCTCTATCCTCTGGGACTCTCGTGCCACGGAGAGATTTTGGTTGGTTCAGAACTGTCAGCTTGAACTGAGGAGTTTGGTTTTATTAAACCTCAGGACACGCCCTCTCAGAGATAGAAAGCCTTGGTTGTGGAGCAAAGACATGTGAGGTGCAGTTACCTTCACCCTGATGTCTGTCCCCTGCACGGTGTGTATAACGCCGGGAAGCGCCGAGAAGCGAATCGCTCATGAAATTCGGCCGCTGCTCGCCGCTCCTCAGTTCAGATAAGACGCGCTTCGGCTCAGCTGTAGTTTTTCTTTTAAACACTTGGTGTCCTCCATTTCCTCAGCTCTTTTCCTCTACGTTTGAGTGTTTGTGCGTGTGTGTGCATGTGTGTGTGTGTGTGTGTGTGTGTGTGTGTGTGAACCTATGGTATGAACCAGTTGTTTCTATCAGTTGAATCTCTTGGAACCCGCTCCAATTCTGCAGCTGTATCCTAGCAGTTTCTTTCCGAAATGGGTACGTAAATAACCGTTTTTCGGGGGTCGTACAGCTCCTTGTGTTTCTCAACTTCCATAATTAATTTAAAGTCATCCATCTTAACTGCTTGCCTCAGACTTTCTGCCTCTCTGTCCTGTTTGGTCCGGTGAAAAGACACCCAAAACCACACACCCCTTCACGTGGTCACACACGCACACAAGTCCGATGTGTGTGTATGTGTGTGTGTGTGTTCGTGTGGTTTTTCTGCAGTGTCTGATTACGAACACATTTGACTATTGCGGAATTTTATTTTGAAATGCTTTATTATGTTAACTTTACCGGCCTGCCTCTTATGTCTAGATTTGACTTCCTGCCAGAATTGACGCGATTCGCCCGCGGCTCGCGAAAAAAATAGAGGCGACACCGAAATGATCGCTGCACGGCGCGGGCTGGAGCGCCGGCTCGCGCCGGCGCGAGGCGATTCGCTGCGCGAGGCGGCCCATGTGGTCTATAGAATAGCTTAACAAGGGCACCGAATGAAGGCGGTCCCATTTTCGCGGCGCTTCTGCGGCCGGTGTGTCCCCGGCGTAAGTGTACATGGCCTTCTTCACACTGTTAAACATTACTGATTATCATAAACAATAATTATTAGCCAAAGAATAATAATTCATTTCAGTAATTAAATACATTTATAATGAACCATAATGATTATTTATGATGATTATTTATGAACCTTGTAACAAACAGTGAAAAGAGTTTATTAAAAATGATTTTTTTTAATCTTGGAGTGTCCATCTTGCGGATGGAACAGCAGTCAGATAAAAGGCAGTCAGATTAAAGATGGTTTAGCAGACTTTATGTCTCCTGTGATGGATAATCTGTGGACAGAAGTTCAGCCAGGACAGCGTGACCCAGCTGGGGAAGTGTGACCTTTGGGTCACAAATGAGGCCATTCATGTCGCTACAACTCCGACATACGTAAACTCCTCCACTTGAAGCAGGACCTCATCCCTGACCTAGAGAAGGCATTCTACCCTTTTCCGAATCAATTCCACGGTCTCAGATTTAGAGGAGTTGATTCTTATCCCAGCTGCTTCACACTCTGCTGCGAACCGCTCCAGCGAAAGCTGCAAAAAGCAGAGACTCAATCCACAATGGATCCCCTCAACACCTTGGCTGTGTCTAAAAATCCTCTCCATAAAATCTTTGGTGTGTTTGTGCTGTGTTGCTTTTCTAACTGCATTGTTGGTTCTTTAAAAGGTTTCTTTTTTACCTTGCTGCTGACAGTTTTGTTCGCGGCTGCAAACTTCCTCAGAGCTGACGCTGATGGTGGCGTCACTTCCTA